GGGAGAAAAAGCTACTCAAAGACGGCTTTTTAAAAATCGCCCACCTTTCAGTGGAACATTACCCTACTTTAGGGTTAGGGGTGAGCACCAGGGTAGGGTTAGGGTTAGGAAAACCAGGAGTCCTGGCATGATTCTGATGGTTGGAATGCGTTTAGGAGGGGGAGAAATGATGAGCTGGGGAGAAAAAGCTACTCAAAGAAGGCTTTTTAAAAATCGTCCACCTATCAGTGGAACATTACCCGATATTAGGGTTAGGGGTGAGCACCAGGGTAGGGTTAGGGTTAGAAAAAGTAGGAGTCCTGACATGATTCTGACGGTTGGAATGCGTTTAGGATGGGGAGAAATGATGAGCTGGGGAGAAAAAGCTACTCAAAGGCGGCTTTTTAAAAATCGCCCACCTTTCAGTGGAATATTACCCTATTTTAGGGTTAGGGGTGAGCACCAGGGTAGGGTTAGGGTTAGGAAAACTAGGAGTCCTGGCATGATTCTGATGGTTGGAATGCGTTTAGGAGGGGGAGAAATGATGAGCTGGGGAGAAAAAGCTACTCAAAGGCGGCTTTTTAAAAATCGCCCACCTTTCAGTGGAACATTACCCTATATTAGGGTTAGGGGTGAGCACCAGGGTAGGGTTAGGGTTAGGAAAACTAGGAGTCCTGGCATGATTCTGATGGTTGGAATGCGTTTAGGAGGGGGAGAAATGATGAGCTGGGGAGAAAAAGCTACTCAAAGAAGGCTTTTTAAAAATCGTCCACCTATCATTGGAACATTACCCGATATTAGGGTTAGGGGTGAGCACCAGGGTAGGGTTAGGGTTAGAAAAAGTAGGAGTCCTGACATGATTCTGATGGTTGGAATGCGTTTAGGATGGGGAGAAATGATGAGCTGGGGAGAAAAAGCTACTCATAGAAGGCTTTTTAAAAATTGCGCACCTTTCAGTGGAATATTACCCTATATTAGGGTTAGGGGTGAGCACCAGCGTAGGGTCAGGGTTAGGAAAACTAGGAATCCTGGCATGATTCTGATGGTTGGAATGTGTTTAGAATGGGGAGAAATGATGATCTGTGCAGAAAAACTACTCATTGTGCCTTTTTCAAAATTGTCCTATCTTTAGCCCTTTATTAGTGTTAGGGGAATGCAGCATGGCAGGGTTAGGCCAGCGGTGGCAATCCTTTTGCCCCCCTGGCACAGTGGGCACACGGTACCGTCTTTTTCAGCATGTGCAGCATGTCATCCAAACATCTGATAACTGCTCAGATAGGGCTATATGCATGTTCGGAAATGAGTAGGGTTGCCCGGCAATGATGGCACAAGCTACGACTTATTATCTGCGACTTATCTGACCTTCTGCATGGCAGGTCAGTTCACTGCCAAGGAGATACACATATTTGCTTGGACTGGCTGAGAGCAGTTTTGTCTAAACTAAGACCTCAGTTTCCTGGTTTTGTTTCAGTTTTGCCCCATTGTGATAAATTAGTGGGTTTGTGCTCATGGTCTCTAAAAGGTTCGTTATCACTGCTCTATAAGTACCAGAAAGGCTGTGACAAAGAGGAAGGTCAAGATCTCTTCTTGCTGATGCCAGTGTGTGGGACATGGGACAGTGTGTGGGACTCAAATTAATCAATTTGAGTTGTGACAACCCAGATTCAGGCTAGATATCAGGAAAAGCTTCCTCACTGTCAGAGCAATGCGACAATGGAACCAGCTGCCTGGAGAGGTGGTGGGCTCTCCCACACTGGAGGCATTCAGGAAGAAACTGGACAGCCATCTGAGGGGGGTGGTGTAAACTGGTGTCCTGCAGCATCCGGGAATTGGACTCAATGGCCTCCATGGCCCCTTCTATCATTACTATTCTATAATTCTATGAACCTACCCATGGGATAATCAGGTGTTGTATTGTACGACAGGTGGGACAATTGGCTGTGTACACTGATTAGTGGGACAACATATGGACCAGGTGCTGTATTGTATTTGCACATGTGTGTACGGCTGAGTGCTTCTTTCTTCTTGTTACCCATTAGTTGTACTTCTCTTGTTCTCTCTCCTGCAGATGAAGGACTCACTAGTAAACCTCCAGAACGGCATTGGGTCCCGTGAATTTCGGTCAGGGCCAGAAGAGAAACGGAAACGATTCTACTAGCAGGCAGGAGCACAAGTGGCCAGTGGATTGTGTGCAATATGTGTACATAGAACATATAAATATATATATATATAAAACACAGAGAGAATATAAATATATATATATATATATATATTATATACAGATTTTAAAGGAGAAAAAAAGCCTATGTACTGAAAAGAAAGAGCGGTGCCGACTGACCTCCAGCACTGGATGAAATGGAGCGTCACAGGATGTGGCAAGGCTGTGCTTTCCTGCCAGTGAGGCATTGTGGGAAAGCACAGCCTAAGACATCCTGGGCCCACACACCTCTCTCGGTATTTTCCTGTCTGTCTGCCTGTCTGTCTGCCTGTCTGTCTGTCTTTTTCTCCGTCTTGTCTCTTTGTCTGTTTTTTTTCCCCGTTCAAAGGGAAAAACCCAGAGGGAGTGAAATCCCCTTTCGCCTACATTCAGCTGAAAGCGAGCGAATGGCTAGAAGAGACCTTGCTTTCTCTGGCATTTGGGGTAGCTGCTCAGGACCATGAGAGCCCGTCCCGCAACGGACGCCGCTCCCTCCGCAAGTATGCTGCCGGTGGGCCCTGCGGTTGGCACGAGGTCTCTGCCAGCCCATGTTTTCCCACAGCAGCCTCTCGCGGGGTCCTCCGCGCATTGCCCGTCTGGTGTGACTCACGCTTCCTTCGCCCTCTGCAGTGCCCGCCACGCATACAGCGTGTGGCCGATTGACGAGGTGGCTAGGAAAGGCTTGCTCGTGGAACGCCCCCCCTTCGGTTCAGTCCGTGGTGCTCACTCGCTTCATGTGGGCGGAGACATGCGAATGTACCCCCCTCCCCCTTTGGTTCAGCTCTGCAGGGTCCCTTTTCGTGTCAGATCCTCTCCGCTCATTGTGCATTGGCGACATCATCTCCTACGTATCACAGGGAATCGCTGCTTCACTGAAAGGGCTATACGTACACACATATATCCTTACCAGAGTTGGAAAGGGAGTCCAAGCCGAGCTTCATCTTAACAGGGAATCCCTTCTGTGATTACCTGCAGTGCATTTCCAGAAGTCCCTCTGCTCAAAACAGACATGTTGTAGCCTGGAACAGGCCTCAGAACTTAGCAAGGGGCTCAGAAACACCTGCTCTTCCTGCTTCTACCTGAATTCTCAAGGTGCATGCATGGATTTATCTGCATCTTCTACACCCAAGAGAAATGCATTAAGAAAAACAGTTGCTTACTAAATGGGGATATTTTTACTACCTAGGCAGGTACATGCATCTGCTTCGAGGTCCCAGCTGCCTTCCACAATGCATGCCAGGAAACCATCACTGGCCAGTTAAAATCTGTGAATACATGTTGATAAGATAAGCCCAGCAGTGGTGACTGGAAACAAACACCAAACAGGTCTGAGAAATATGTCGCAGAGGCCTTTGGAGGCTTCCAAGCTGTGAAAAACCATGCACAAATTCTGATGTTAAAATACCAGGGTGCTTAAAACAATTACATAGTTGGGAAGACCTGGAATTGACACATTTCAAGTGAGTGTGCTGTGTTTATTGAGCTGTGTTCTTATTAGTGGTGATTCTATAATTCAGAGTTGTCAAAATCAAGATTCTCTGTAAAGAGCAGACTGGTTTGCTATGTTTTGCAGAAGACTAAAGATGCACGTGTCCAGAGGCATCTGAGAAAGCTGCAGCTGGGCTTGTAGCTTCATTTTTTCCTGCTGGGCAGTGGATAGGAGGCGGGGGCAAGAAAGGAGCTGAAGGAAGAAAAACGGAGGCATGGAGCTCCCCGGGAGAGCAAAAGGGGCACCCCCGCTTTCAGGCCTGATGCTGCTGGTTTGCTACGTTCCTCAGTGTTGAGTTCACATCAGCATGTTGAGTAACTGTTGACATATCACACCCTTTTTAGGCAAAGATGCTGAGGGTTTCTTGCACACAGTAAGTTCCAGGCTGCTGATGCCTCTTCCTGAATTTGAGCTCTTGAAGGTGGGGGTTTGCATCTTTCCTCAGCATAGACTGCTGTCCAGCATGGCAAGAAGGTAAATGGAGGGGAACCTCTTGGTCCCAGGTGGCACAGCAGAGCCCAATACTGCAGAATAGAGAGCTTCATGGCCTAGAAGAGAGGAGGGGACTCCAGTCCCGCCCGGCTTGAGGCCGAGTGCCCTATCTGAGTCCATGCCAGGTGGAACGTGTTAAGCCCAGCATAGCCACCAAGGGCAGCAGGTCCTTAAAGGGCAGAGAAGGAGCAGACCTGCCCACGTGCATTAGCAAAGCTGCATCCTCACCCTCCAGCCAAGGATGATCAGTGAGAGCTTTTCCTTTGCTGTGTGGCTGGACTGGCAGGGAGAGAAGAGCAAACCTTGAGTTGGGCCGGGAGTGGCTTCCTGATGAACCCCCGAGCAGCCCATCTTGTTTGGTCAGGAGAAGCAGTTGGAGGGGGTAAGCATGCACAGGCAAGAGCTGGGAGCCCCGCTGTCAACACCCAGGGGAGCCTTTGGAAGTGTTACTTGCATAATGTAGCGTATTTATGTACCTGTTCTTGCCTAATGCTCCTGATTTGTTGGCTACCTTTAGGATGCCCGATTTGCTGCTTGTATAGGCACCACGAAAGTGCTTAATAGCTTTTAGCCGGGCTGGGGGGGCTGGGGTTGGGGTTTAGGGGGGCGGGATTGGTCTCCTTGCAGGCCCAGCAAGTGTAATGAGCATATGCAACCTGCATCCTTTTAAGGGCTCTCAGAATGCTCAGATGCTGAAGTTCCTCTTGCAGGAGGCTACAAAAGGCGGTGGAAGAAGCAGAAGCAGGCACAGAAGCTGTTTCTCCCCCACAGTGCCCATAGGCTCAGCAAGATTGCTCAGAAATTCTGTCCATTTTCCTTAAACGTCCTTGCCAGCAAGGTTCTTTTCTGGCAGTTTGCCGGACAGACCGAGGAAAAACGTACTTTCATCCACTTGTGCTCCCAGAAGAAGTCACGGTTTGAGAGGCACACTTCCTGCAAGAGCGCCCTGACCAAAGAGGTTAGCCCCTTCTTTCGTTAAACAAGCTGCCAAGCTCTCTGAAGGGGCGGAATTCTTGGGGTGGAGTTGAGCCTGGCAAAGAGAGAAGTATTTTTTCCCCCTGCTCATTTGATTTTAGAGATTTTCTGTGTTCTGCCCTGTAGAATTTTCCCATAGAAAGACAGATTTTACTTGCTGACTACACAGACCCATCTTAGAGAGCATTGTCTGGGGAACCTAAATGTGCATGCAGAGCTCCTGTGTACAAAACTACCCTGCGACTTTGTCGAGAGCAAGCAGATTTGCACGCACAAAAGATTGTGTGTGAGACCCTTTTTCCACATATGTGGGGCTGCCACTGGTGGTAGAGACATGCTTGAGATTTTTAAAAAGGCCCTCTGCATTCAAGTGCGCCCAACTTCATGAGGCACACCTTTTGTGTTTAGGTTGTACCTGAAGGATACAATCTGAAGCCAGAAAAGTTTGGATTAAATTTGACTAATCCTAACTACCCCCTCTCTGCCAGCTGCCTCTGGACTGTTACCAGTCTTTTTTTTAAATGTCCTTGGAGATGACGCTGGCCTTCCTTTTCTCTTAGGGGTGCAAAGCTTTGATGACAAGTCTCAATGTTGTTAGTTTGTGCTTGATGAAAGAAAGGTGGAATGGGCACTCCGTTGTGTCTGCCTGCACCCCACCTGTTTCCTGGCAAACAACTCTTGAGAAAGGAGATCCTTAGAGGATACTCTACACTTGCAAGCAGTAGCTCTGTTCGTATGCCCACCACCCCTTTTGACTTGAAAAACTTCAGCTCTGCTCAAGTGATCTTTCCGCAACAGCACAAGAAACCAGCGATCATAGCAAGCAATTACATTTGCAGCTTAGATCAATTAATGTATCCTTCGTGGTGTCTGCTGTTAGCGTCTCAGTTTTATAATCTGGAATGGCTCAAAGGTGGTAGAGAATTTTCAGGCAAACCAGTTCTTGTTTTGGGGAAATGCTAGAACTGAATATCTGGCCTGCAAAATGCTAAAGGGTGACAAACCTCCTGGGATTGATTCCCAGATGTTTGCGCTGGTCCCCATACTGCCTCTCTTAATTTTCCCTCTCATTCTGAGGCCTCAGAAGCACAGGGTAATTATTTCGGTGCCATAACACCCTCTCCCTCCACTTACGATGTGCAAATCGGCCAAACTGGAGAGCTAACTCTCACCCTGATTTGCTGAATCATACCCATGCACGGAACGAGGGGACTGATTTTCCCATGAGCAGTTCGCACGAGAGTCTCCTGGAAATATGCATCCTTGACAGCATCTTACCTTGCTGTGCATCCTTCTCCTGTTCCGCCTCCTCTCTGCCTAGGTGTGGTACAATCGTTCACCGGTCCCTTGGCATTCTCGGCGCCCTCTGTGGGCTGACCCGGTGCTACCCTCACTTCCACTTTCCTCCCCATGGTGGTGGTGTGTTCTGAGAGGAATGCGTTGTACTGTGGTGAGGAAAACAAGCTCTTCTTTCTTGTGAAGGAATTACGTTTGCACATGGCTCAGAGGCTTCTCTCTCTGACCATCCTTTTTAATTACCTCACTTGGGTCAGTTTCGTTGCTAAGGTTCGAAGGACTGGCTCCCCAACCTGAGCTTTGCATCCAATTTCGGCGTGGTTCTGATGGTGACATACCATAGCTCAGGGCTGTGGCTTCCTCCTCGTTGACGTGCAGTAGCAGCGCCAGCATCTTGGAGACTGATTTTTGTGGCTGCTTATCAAATGCCCGCTGCAAGGTGGTCCCCAAGTGCTGGGGATGAGGACTGGAAAGGCACCTCTGCCCCTGCGCCCCCTCCCGCCCCCTCCCTTGCGCATGAACGCCTGGCCTAGACCCTGACAACTCTTACCCAATGTGTGTGTTTCCGCAGCCGCGTCTCAGCATACTAAAAGGAGGATTTGAGGCAGGGAGAACTAAGAGAAACTGACTTGAAGGCCAAGTTCTGCTCCCTTTCCCACCTCCAAACATTTCTTACAGCTGGAAGGGTCTGTGGTAACAAGACATAACTGCTAAAGGATCCCTAGTTGTGTCTGTAGGAGTTGTCTGGCTGTCCGTGTGTCTGATTCTGTAACCATAATAAACTTTGCGCTGTGCGCAAGGTCCAATACAAATGGATTAAAAGAAAAAGAAAAAGAAAAACCACACACCATCAACCACAAACTTGACTGCTAGAACCTAGGAGTTATAAAGGCTACAAAGCCAAAATCTTATTGTAAAGTAGCTAGAAAAAAATGGAATAAAAGTATGAATAAAATATAATAAAATACAGTGAGCCGTGTGGGTTCTTTGTGTTTTATTTTGCTGTCTCTTTCTAAATCTGAGCCTTTCCTGAGTGGCACAGACAGAAGATGCAATCTACTACCTTTTGAGATGGAGAAATTATGCAAGGTTCCCGCCCGTGCCTTGGGCAGCCACCAGAAATTCTTCATGCACTACTGAACTTTTAGATGGGCACAAGAATGTGTCCATTTTAAACAGTTATGGAAGCAATTGGGGCGAGAATGAAAATAGCCTGTGCCCTTTTTGTGCTCCCAGAGAAGCTTTCTGAAGTGCCAGACCTATCATTTAACTACTCCATTTTGGGAATGAGAGTATTAGATTTTATTATTGCAGGTGATGAATACAGGGGTTGGATTTAGGCTAAACTGGATTAGGCAATGTGACTTTCCTAAAGCGAAAATGGAAATGATTGACAGAGATCAAAAGAGAGGCGTTAGAGCCTATGGGCCACACTCATGTCAGCCAGTATCCTTGGTGGCCGGGGAGGATGGAAGTTGTAGTTCCACAGAATCTGTAAGGCCATCGGGTCCCTTCAGCGAGAAGGAAAATGCCCTCTGTTTAATTCATGGATAGGAAACCAGAGTGCTTTCTCTGGGGCTCAAGAATACCTCGTGGGCCCCCATTTTTCCTATATATCATGATGGCTGCTACTTCTCAACAGATTTAACAGCTCTATTTATGTACCACATTACGGAAAGTGAGCTGCCATTATCCCCTACTATAGATTTCTTGGACTTACCTTGGGTCGCCATTCACTTACTAGGCAACCTGAGCTACCTCCTCTTGTTCTGGGGCTAACAGCAAAGGTCCACCTCACATGATTGCAGAAGTAACTGGAGAAATTACTTCATAAATACTACATAGTTACTGGAATGTGTGCATCAGAGAAGGGATTTCCTTTTCTGCTTGTCTGTCCACATTTGTTTTGCTCAGCAGTCTTCCCTTACTGGGGTAGCCCTTACCAGAGAGAATGTTGGATTCTGTATAAGTAGCAGTGGAGACTGGGCAAATGAGTTTGGTAGTGGGAGAAGCTGCAGTTCCTAATTTCGTCTGAGGGCCATGCCGCTGGGGAAAGCACTGGCTCCCGCTGAAAAACACAGTATCGTCCTCACATGACCCCATGTTCTCTCCAAGTAGAGTTCCCCACACTTGTTCAGCCTCTTGAGCCCATCAAAGGACACTTGGCTGGACTGAAAAGCCCATGTTAGTCTGGATTAAGCTCCTTCACCTGAGCAACTTGGCCAGTTAACAGTCCCGCCAGATGTGAAGGAAAATGTCAATGTACGAAAAGAGAAGCAAGTGGCAGTGAAGCAGTTAGCAGTAGCTGCTTCTATTTTGCTGGCATACATTAAAAGGTTTGCTGCTTGGGATTTACTAAATCACTGAATAGCTGACTAAGAGTGCCATCTTATGTACACGGGGACAGGAAAACTCCCCACAACTCCTAGCTTTGCTTTTTCTCTGCCTAAATGGGCATTGGGGGGGGGGTTGTGTCCCAAGTAAATTTGCCCATTCGCACTGGACAAGTCCTGTGGCTACGATATGAGATTGGCATATTATGCAATTGGGGTGCTTCCCAGTGCCACTCCTCGAGCCTCTCCTGGTTTCATGGACAGTCACTGTTTTATCAGTATCTCTCCCAAGTCTGGTCACCCATTTGCTCATGAAGGGATGGGCCTTTCTGTGGCCTCGCTAAGGCATAATTTGACACCCAAGCCACTGCTGGCTAATAAAGAGCCAGGGCAGCGTGGTAGAGAGGTTAGGGAGCTGAGTTGGGTCTGGCAGAGCCAGGGTTTTGCCCCCACTCAGCCATAAAACCCTCCGGGTGGCTTTGGATCAGCATTTCCCTTTCAGCCTAACCTATCACACAGGGTTGTGTTGTGAGAACGAGATGGACAGAAGGACATGGAAAGAAGACATGCCGGGTGAGACCTGGCACTTCATTCACACAGCTACTCACAGGATCCCTCAGGCAGGAGGAATACAGCAGCTCCTTCCTGCTCAAGCTCTGTAGCAACTGGTCTACGCAGACATACTGCCACTCATAGTGGTGGCTGGTATGGCCAGCAAGGCCGGTAGCCATGGCTAGTCTTCTGCTCCATGAGTCAGTCCAGTCCTCTTTTAAAGCCATCCAGATGTGGCAGTGAATTCCACAGCTGAACTATGTACTGGGTGGAGAAGTTCTTCCCTTGATCCCTTCCCATTCATCAGTCTCAGCATGGAGAGGACAAGGACCATCCATGCCTGCTCGAAAGAAAAGTCAGGCTATAAACACAATATGCTCGTCTGACTTTAAAATAAATCACCCTTGCGCCCGGCAGTGAAGGTATGTGCAATGTCCAATGTGTGGGAGTCAGGGTGGCATAGTGGTTAAAGCATTGGACTGGGACTCAGGCAGTCTAGGTTCTAGTCCCCATTTTGCCATGAACCTCACTCGGTGGCTTTAGGTCAGTGGTTGATTCTCAGCCTAACCTACCTTACATAGTTGTTGTGAGGATAAAATAGGAAGGAGGATTATGCAAGCCACCTTGGGTTCCTTCTGGGAAAAGACAGAGTATAAATATAAGATCACATTAAATAAATGAATGCAAGTATCACAGAGATGTTGGGAGTGCTTTGCCCGGGAGTGATGGCTAGAAGTATGCAAAGGGAAATCTGTGTTAGTGAAAGATGAGATGCATTAGTATTTACAAAGCTGTTGTAAATAGGGTGATGGAGAAGCTGCTGAACCCTTGCCCCTTGAAGCAGCATGCCTCCAAGCAGAGTCTTTGGTGAATGGGCTGAGAGCTCAGGATGGGAGCCGTGAAGTCAAAGCTGTGTAAGGTCCCAAACAAATGGAAATGACTTTACACGTTCGCATGATTCCGCCTCTTCATATTGGACTCCTGCCTGCAGTGACTTAGTCCTCCACTCTGCAGAGCCCCTGCAAACAAGACAAAATTGGGGGAGTCTTCCATTGTTTGGATAGAAAAATGTATGTGCAACATGCACACCTTGAAAGCAGCATCAGCAGCCTACCTGTACACACAGATGCTTACGCTTACTCCACATCCCCAGATACCTGACTTTGGGATGCTCATCCTTGCTTTTGGCTTTGATTTTAAGCATGTGTCCTTTGGGAGACTCTAACCCTTGAGCCTTATCTCCAAGAAAAGGCATTTGCATCTCCCCCAGTTTGGCAGAGCATGTTTGGACCTGCAGGAATGGCATGACTTGGGAAAGGGTCTACTTCTCACACTATATCCATGGTATGCTGTTACACATAAGGTGCTGAGTCCTAGTAGAAAATATGATTGGTTCTGAAGCTTCTGAAGTTGGAGGATTGCAGGCTCCTATGGTTGGTGGGAGGAGCACAAAAGCAACGGTCCTATCTGCACTTCCAGTTCTGGAAAGCGCTGGTGGCCAGTTTTGGCCATCAAGCCACAACACTTCAGCATAGGAGGGAAGGAAGCTGAGGTACCACCAGGTGCATCGCAGAGCTTCATCACTCCAAAACTCTGTGCTCATCCTCATGGCTTCCAAGAAGCAGCTGGCATGCTTCTTTTCACACCAGCTGAGGTGTGGGTGGTGGAGTGCTCTGAGCATGGCTCCACAGTGTTGAGTTTTAAGCAGAATCCTTTCTCCGCTGTCCTTGCCAAAGAATTGTCACCAGCCTAGATGGTTGTTTCTGTGAAAAAACAGCCATCACTAAGTAGTCATATGGGAAAGGCCCAGCCAATGGGCGTCCTTGTGCATGTTTGAAAGGGAGGAGACAAGGAATTAGATGGCCAATGCGCTTTGATTGCTGGAAAGTGCCCTGGATTCTACAGCAATGGAGACAACTAGTTGTGTGTCACCAAGACTTGACAAACACTCTTATTCCGTCCGTTTCCTTTGCAGCTCCACAGCAGCATAGCCTGCTTATTGCTCCACATCAATGAAAATAGATGATTTTCTGCTCCCCTTAAGCTGCATTGAGAAATGAGAGGAAAAGCAATTTCTTTTGGGGTGCATCATATGCATATCTAGACAAAAAAAAAATGCCCCATGACTACCAGAATTCCCCAGCCAGCCACATTGAATTCTGGGACTGGGAGTTGTGTTTTTATGTATGTATCCATGTCTATCCTATATTTCCTATACCACCCAAAAGATGAAGCTCTCTGGGCTGTTTACACTAAAGGTTGTAGTGCCTTTTTCTGCTTAAACTTGTAGTGGATTGTGTCTTTTCTGAGTGATATCCTAGAATTTGTTCCTGTACTTATAGTACATTTAATTCAACATGCTGAGATTTATGGGAGAAAAGCCTCAAGGCTCTTGATTTCAATACATTCTGCAGTCTCAACAGGATGCTATTGGTAGTGATACACCTGTCTATACCTATATATTTCATCTACAGATCTCCAGAAATGTCTAAAAGGTTCCAAAATGTCCTTGGACATCACTCCCACAAGTACCTTCCTGTACAAAGATTTTGATTAGCTTACCAACTCTTTTGTACAAAGGACTTACCTTGTTTTGTAAATTGTACGCCTGATGTTTCATCTTCTATTCCTCTACAGGAACTGCACAGTTTTCCTTGTTTTCTGAAGGGATGGCGAGGTAGTCAGTCCTGTAAATCAAGGGGGGGGGGTGTTACTTTGAGAAAAACTCTAATTTGCCACCCAATTTTAAAACTTAGTTCACAAAACTTTATTTGTTGTAAAGTGCCCAGAGAGCATCATCTGGGGGTGCTATAGAAATTGATGGTGATGGTGATGGCACCTTACCAAGGAGAGAGACTGCAACTCAGTGAGCAAACAGAGCGTGGCTTTTACCTGTAGAAGATCCCTGCCTCCTACCTTGGTGTGTGCAATTAAAAGAGGGAAAGGCCCCCTGCCTGAGATAAGACTGCTGCGGGTCAGGCAATAGGCAATGTGGAGATAAATGGCTGAACTGGGCTCATTTGGTATACAGCAGCTTCATGTGTTGTGACAACACAAAGCCCTTTGTGTGTGCTCTTGTGTACATGGATGGCCTTCTCCATTCATTCCAGTGGAGGAGCACAGCTACAGAGGCATATGGAGAGCTAGCCTTCCAGGCAAGTGGACAAGGAAGCTCTGGTAGATGGGGCATTCTGTGCTATCAGCCAGCATCTCTGCAACACAGAGCAGAATGGGAGTGCCTTTAATCCTGGCATGAGGAACCTCTGGCTTGCTCCGCCTCTTGTCCCTTTCCAAAATGCAAAGCCAGCCCTACCATTATGCAGAGTAAGCTGGTCAGTTAGGGAATGTGGAGCGTGAGGGCGAGATGCTGGAGTGAATGTGCATGACAGGGACAAGATTCAGACATGAAGCCAACACTGAAAGGCTAGGTATGGGATGAGAATGGATTATTGAACCAGGGGTGGTTGTTGAAACATGGGTTATGGTGTCTGAATCAGCTGCACTAGCAAGTCACAGCTTGCTAACTATGAACAACCCATGAAAAGAGCTCCTGGTTTGTTCTGCTATGGAGTCTAGGTTGTTCACCATTATCTGTTATCTCAGCTGGGTTGTTATCTCAGTTTCAACAACAGCCCACACTCAACCCATATGCAGTCCATGAGTTCGCTTGTTGTCTGAACCCTGCCATAGCCTGCTGTGTAGGCTCCAATGCATGGTAGAGGGAACCCCTGCCAATGCAGGTCCAAGGGAGTGGGATGGAGGGCACCATGCTGTCTTTGCCCCAGATGGGAAAACATCTCGGAAGAGCCTGCAAAAGGCCTTGGTTTTGCCTACTTACGCATTTTCCTGGGCAGTCTCCTCTGCTTTGGTGACTTTCCTGTAGCAGTAGACCATTTCTATCAGCAGCCACAAAGTGAGGAAGACTAGCAGGATATACATCATGATTTCAGAGATGACAGATGTAAAGTCTTCTCCAGCTGTGTAGGAGAAAAGAAATGAAGAGACTGTTGTGGCCTTCCAAGCTCTGGATGAGCAAAACCACCCCCTTGGGGGCTATTTTGATCTTCTGTTGCTTTCTGTCTCTGATGGCACTGAGGTACCAGAAGTTGAGCTGCCAGGCTTTCTTACTTGGGCTTTAGGTTCGGAGCCAGCTCAGCAGGCACTTACATCCTTAGTGGTTCTTATGGAACAAATTGTGCCAGTTGGAAAATTCATTGCCCTCTTCCAGTTTAGCCCCAAGACACATACCATGCCCATGCATGGCAAAATCCATGGATCCCATTCTCGGCTCTGCTACTAATCGGTACAAACTCTGGCACTGGAACCTTAAACTGGCTGGAGCAGCCTTCTCCTACATGGTGCCCATGTTGTCTCTCCCAACCTTCAAGGAGTCCTGCTCTCGAACAGGGTGAGAGCACTTTATGACCAGGCATTCATGGTGCAGAATGTGGATAATCTGGATAAGCAAGAATGATGTGAGCTACATCAGAGGAAGGCAGTGGCTGCAGACCACCACAAGACCCGGGTGGGACAACTGGCGTTCTACTGTCTCCTGATCAGATCCATCCCACCTACTAAACGTTTGGCCACATCCACACATGCACTGCAGCAGCTGCCTCCTCTGGATGCTTTCCTTAGCACATGCGCAAACATGCAGAGCCACTCAGAAGACGTACTTCACTTGGGACACAGAGCCATGTCTGTGCCCATCCTGGGACCTGCTAAGACTCTCCTTTTCTTCCCTGTTCCTTTACTTTCCCCATCTGGAGCTGTTCAACATTGTGCTGAAGACAAGGAAACACAGAGAACCACCGAGACATGGAGACAACTCAGGGAGGGATGTTCAGCAAGTGAATAACACAGAGGAAGAGAAAATAAATAGAGAAAAGGGCGTACGGCTGTGGGGCAGGGGAGAATAACGCACACGAAGAGTCAGGAAGGAGATGTAACGGGGAAGATGCCTTTAACTCAACCATCATTCAGGAGAGAATGGGATTACATGAGAATCAATATCATCATTGAAGGTAAACCCTGAACTAAAACTATCTTGCCTTAACCACTTATATATGGCAACTGGAATTAACAAAGCACAAACTTTGTTAATACCTTTCTAAACAGTGGGGGTGGAAACAGTATTAGATCATGATAAAAAAGGAAGCATCTTTCGTTTTGAAGGGAATGTTTCGGATGGGTCCTTCACAACACATGGCAAGAGGATAGAATGCAACAAAGAGGATGACTCACCAGATAGTTCAGTAACTGGTAACAGTTAAGCTTGCAGTCCCAGTTCTTCTGTTAACACTGAGAGCAGTCTTTTTAAAAAGTAAGCATGGGGGCTGTCACCTTTCCCCAGTTTACAAGACATTAAACCGCAAAACTACAAAGTCAGCCATACCCAACCAACAACTTTTCGGACCATCCCGAAAGCCAATTGGATGTCCAACAGATCTCTAAGCCTGCCAGGCACCATGAACTGGAAGAAGCAAGTTGAAGCCTGTCAGACTCGTTACCTCACCATAAGCACACCAACTTCTGCATCACCATTTTGTACACAGCAACAAATTAACTCTCTAAAGGATCGTCAGCATGTGGCGTACCCTTCTCCACCACTGTGAGATGGATCAGCGTAGAGCTGGTAAAGACCGGCCGATGTGACTCGAAGTTGAATTCCCGGGTCACATTGCATGTATAGATCCCTGAATCGTTCAGAGTGATATTGAGCACTGAAATGGACACATCCTGCATGTCTGCACTCCCATTCCACTGGAGCCGGCCACGGAAGCGACTCTCCACTTCCCGTTTCTCATTGTTGTACTCATAGATCTGTGGGGAGCAGAAAAGAAGTGCAGTCATTATCAGCTCTCTAAGCCACGTCCTAGTGTTTTAGTATTTGATTCAGGAAGCAAAGACAGAGGGCATAAAATCCTTCTTTGGAATGCATGTCTTAAAGATAAGTGGAAGAATAAAAGGTATCTTCTGAGCATTCCACACTCAGTGATCTTATGTGGCTCCATCCGGCTATGCACCCTTTAAACAAGAAAACAAGTAATGCTGAGCATGCAGGAAGGAGACATGAGCCAGGAGGAAACACCAGGATGCAATATTTCTGCTCAGTATTGCTGAGGTAGGACTTCTCCTGCAATAGAGAAGCTGAGTTCTAAAAAGGAACCTCTTTTTAGGGCAAGAATTTCTATCACTGCAATGGGATAGGCTGTAGTGGATCGAAGTTTCACAAGCAGATGCTAATTCCTTCACTTCAGTTCATCCCTGCCCCATATTATCCACTGAAGCTACCATTTTTTTAAAAAAGAAACTTGCTCTTACTTGCTATGTGCATTTCTAAAGGTAAGAGAGGCCTCATTTCTCATACGGCCACCAGGAAATAGATCCCCTTTCTTGGTCTTAAAAGATCAATGAACAGAGCTGAAGGAGGGATTCAGCTGCTGGGTTCGGACAACATGATCATGTATTATGCAACCATGGGCTGTTGTTGAAACCTGGCTTATTGAGTTACCCATGCCCAGCTGCACTAGGAAGCCATGGCTTGTTCAGTGAAGGCAGTCCATGAAGTGAACTCAAGGTTTATTGTTTTGCTCTGGGTTGTTCATCATGGTTTACCTATCTTGGCGGGGTTCAGCAAGATAACTCAGGCTTCAATTGCAATCCACAATTCAGTAGCAACCCAAACTTAAACCCTGAGTGTTGTCTGAACTCAGTTGATCTTGCTACTTATCTGTGTCTGCTGTTGACTGGGTATTTGCCTTTCAATCACAACACAGCAGCATATTCAAAGTAACCCACAGGAATTACTACACATTGCTAGAGATTCCTCTTCAGCTTATTTCTCCATTCTTCAACATAGGGGATATGCTAAACGCTCCATGTCCTAAGCTTGGTTCTATTTCCATTGTACAAGCTTCTAGTGTGAACCATCCAATGAGTTGCTTACCAGCACATCTTTGCCTCCTTCAGCCTTATAGAACCATTTCACCACAGTGTTGGCAGAAACTTCTTCTCGCTTCATGCAGGAGATGCACATCAGCTTCATATGTGATCCCTGGACTGCCTCTGTCTCAGACGGCACTTCCACACAAACTGCAGAGCAGAGACCCGCTGGAGAGGAATGGTGTTAACACCAGGTTGTGGGGGCAGCAGCCAGTTTGCACATGTGAACATGTACAGTTGGGAGTGAGGCCCATTTCCAAGTAGGGCATGATCACAAACATACAAACAGGGGAGGAGTGAAACAGAGAACAATCCATTATCCAAAGCGCTTCAATTTCTAGATGAAAATACAGCTTTTATATCACCAGTGGCATTAATTGAAAATGAATTAAATATTGGGATTTGAAAAAAGCTTTCCTCTCTGCTTTGGTCTCAAAAAATAATCTGCATTTAATAATAAATCAGTGCCAAATTAATTGGCACTTTTCAGATTTACAAGGTGTTTCTTCATCTCCCTCCAGCATGAGAATCTGAACCTGAACCTTCTCAGATCTCAGACTTTGCTTATATTAATTTTAAATATTTGGCCTAAATTTAAAAATACATTAGGTATCAGCACAGTTGTGGTGCACAGAAAACCAACCAGAAATTATGTAATCCAAACTGCTAATCACACACACAAATGCAGCATGTTGTGTGTGTGCACGCGCGTGCGTGCGTGCGTGTGCAATCAATACAAAGCTTCAAGCTCAAATACCCGCCATGCAAAGCTTGGAAACCCTCTGGGTGTTTTGTTCCTGTCAGTCCATCCTTGCCCTAGCATGGTGTGCTTGATCTCAGAGAGAGCTTTTCCTCACCGTTTTTCATCAAGATTTGGAGCTGGGTTGCCTATTGTAACATTTTCTTCAGAATGGGTATCACTGTTTCTAATCTCACTAAGGATACGGACCCCCACCCCCATAACACAGAAGAAAATCCCATGCTGTGGCAGGTGGGGGGAATACAGTGAACACTGATCAGCTGTTGAGAGGTTCTTTCTTACTGACTAAAGCTCAGACATACGTATGCATAATGATTGCTTTACACTTTCTAACTGCCATTCCACAATGGCAGTTTCTTTGTCCTAAGCGAACTTGCTGGCGGTGACTCCAGGAATGCAGTGCTCAAGAAGAAGGTTTGATAAGCTGGGGCTTTGTTCTAGTGTTACACCTATAAGGAAGGGTGTTTCTGCACAGGACTCTAACAGTAGTATACAGGGAGAGTCTCCCTCCTGCACTTAAGACTCCCCACCCAGTCTGCTAAATGCTAAGATGCACAGCGCCTTGAATCCAAAATGAAGTTAATTACCACTGGATTCCTTTTGCCATCTGAGCCACATCACATGCTTTGCACACATGGATGAATGCTCCAAATGTGTGAATACTGCTAAAAGGGGCCAGAATCATTTTAAATTTGAACATTTGAACATTTGAACATCAGTCTCGGGATTTACTGAGATACAAAGGTACTGATGCATATGAAAATACCTCCAAATGTCAAATCACTAGTTAGGTTGATACCGACACTGGACTATCACAAATATGTTACCTTGCAATGAGACACTGTCCTTTCCCTGGGGCACCTCTTGGTGAACCAACATCCCAGTCGTTCCTCTGCTGGCTGCATCCCTTGAGATGTGCTCCTTTTCATGGGGAAATTTGATTTGGTTGCAAAGGTAAGCACGCAAGAGAGGCCTGCTAGGTCAGATGAAAGGCTGTCTGGAACAGTATTCGGTTCACCAAGTGGTCACCCAGCTGCACCAACCCTTTCTTATTCGTCTTCCCCAACATCTGGTAGAAAGGATCTTTCCACCTCCAAGACAAGAGGCAACAAATCCCAGGGGGTCTCTTTCTCCACTTGGCCTCCTACCCAATCGGCTAAGTTTTAAGATACACAAGGCTTCGAATGAAAATCAGGGCAAGCACCTTGGATTCCGTTTTGCCACTCCATTTCCTGAACTGAGAGCAGAAAGAAATGCTTTTCTTCCCAACTCCTTTAGGGGAAGGCACTTTAAATGCCGTGCCGAGCACCACCCCCGTGCGCATCGGAGGATTTTAAGAAAAACGAAAGGAAAAGAAAGATACACAGCACCGACCATCTTTAGAAAAGTTAATGCAGAACGGATTGAGAGAGTTTTCTCCATCACCAACACCCCGTGAGATCATTCACGTGTCGGTTTCACATGATCCCCCAAGTGCGATCGCCGCATTCGCGCTTCCCTCTGCCCGCCTTCCCTCCGAGAAGAAGCCGCCACCGCCGCCCTGCTTTTAATTACGGGGCTCGCATCTCGCCATGACAACCCCTCTCCGGGGCACGACCGAGGCAGCTCGGCTGAGCCTGCGCCTGCCTCCACGGGGGGGCCGCGTCCTCCGCCTCAAAAACAGCTTCCCGCCCAGCGCCACCCGCCTGCTTCCCCCCCCCACCATGCCCGGCCCTCGCCCCTCTCCCCAGGTTTACGTCCCGACCGTTTCCTAGAAGAGCGGCGGCTGCGAGAACGGGAGGCACCTACCCCAGAGCACCAGCAGCAGGGAAGCGCCGTAGGTCACCTGGCTGCGCGCAGCCATGGCTCTTGCGCGGGAGGCGGCGGCGGCGGCGGCGGCGGGATCCCGCTTCTCACCCAAGGCTCGCTGCCGTGCCGCGCAACAGGCTGGGGATCGCTGGCTGGCGCGGGGGAGGCGGGAGGAGGCCGCCCCCCGTGGCGTGGCCAGCCGCGCAGCGCGCTTCAGCACCATGGAGAGCGCCGGGCCGCCCCCTGGCGCGCTCGGGCGCTGCCCCGCCGCCCCCTCCCTCCCCGCTCGGCCGGCTGCGGCGCACCTCGGCAGCCGCTGCCCCGGCGCCGCATCTGCCGCCCCGGCCAGCCGGCCGCCCGCAGGGAGGCGAGCCCCTAGGGCACCTTGCGGCCCCCGCGTCCGCAAGAGGCGCGCGGGAAGGGCTCCGTCGCCGCCAGCCGGAGCCGCCGTCGCCCGTCCCGAGCCTCCCGGCAGGAGCCTGGCATCGCAGCCGGGCAGCCGAACGGCAAGGCGCCCAGCTCCTTCCCGGTCTCGGCGAGGCGGCGGGGACGGCGTGTGCCTCCGCAGGCGGCAGCCGGGGCGTGGAGGGGGAGGGGGCGGCCACAGCCTCTTTTTCCAGCGGTGCCTGGCTCGGGGACAGCCCCTCTACCCAGGCATGCGCAGACCTGTCCTCCAGGCGAAGGCAGGCCTCCCCACTTCAAAAGAGAAAGAATGGGGGGGGGCTTTCGGGGGGGCCTCCCCTCCTTGCTTCGCACACCGCACAAAATCCCGCACGCCCCTTTCCAGCCTTCAGCTCCGCGGAACCTAAGCTTTCTAGGAAAGCCCCTTCCTCCTTTTGAGCCTCCGCTTTCCCGCGGCGCAACAGCAGGAACCATTTCGTAAAAGGGAGGAGGAGAAAACCTGCTTTGGAACAAATGGGTGGGGAGGGGGCAACCAGGAATGAGCCTGGCAGGGAGCCCACAGAGGCGGCTAGGGCAGCTGCGGGGTCGGGGGCTGCTGCCGGATGCACAGAGCTTGCCAAGCGCAGTGGTGCCTTGCCCTGACCCTGGCCGCGGGGCTTGGCCCTTGCGCGCTGGAGCGCCCAGCTGCGGCTCGCACGGCTCCCGGGTTCACCGGCCGGGCAGGCAGGCAGGCGCTGCTGCGGTTTCGTAAGGGGAGCTGGCCAGGGTGAACGGGACGAGGCCGCGGGAGGGAGTCCGTACTGCTGTCACTGAGATGAGCCCGTAATGCCAACCCCTGGACGGCCTCCAAGGTCGTTTTTACAGCCGAAAAGCGGAGAAATCCGCTCTCCTCATGTATCGGGCTTGTGCCCGGAGATTTAGAGGCAGGAGCCGGTTGGGGCAGCCACAAGTGGCCTCGCACGCAACTCCTGTCCTGTAAAACTGCTCAAGGTCAGGCCTGACTGGGAAAAAGGATGCTCACTGGATTTCCCTCTAATATCTCCCTGCTTGCCCCTTTTGCGGAAGTGGGAAATGCCCACCCATCCCTTGGCAACAGTGAGTGCAAAAGGGACCACTGGTTGACAACGGAGTGCCCCAAAACAAGAGAGTGGGAGAGGGGGACTCCAATGTGAGTCTGAAACTCGTGTGTGTGTGTGTGTGTGAGAGAGAGAGCGAGAGCGAGAGCGAGAGCGAGAGCGAGAGAGAGAGAGAGAGAGAGAGAGCACAAACTCCTCTCTGTGGCTGTCAAGGGGAGATGGCTGGCTACTAGGAAAAAGGCTTGTTCTGCTGGGGAATGAGAGGTTCACCTGATACCTAAGTCTCTCTCTGGCATCTGGCAAAGATCTTATTTTTCCAGGAATTCTAAAATTTTCACATTTACTGTTTTAACTCAGGTATAATTTAAATCTTTGTACAACTGCTTGGTTTACATTGGCTTTTGTTTCAATTTTATACTGTAGCTTAAATTTTGATAGAGGATTTTATGTTGGATGTTCCGGTTTTAATGGTAGTAAACTGGCTGTTGGGCAGTACAGCTTTGTATGGTACGGAAATCAAGCAAACATTCCCATTCAAAGCAGTTCTCATAAAGAGGCTCGATAGCAGAAGCCCACTATGTTTTTCCCAGGTCTGAAAAGCAGCTGTCTTTAAAACAGACTCTTATTATTAAATTATATTTGCAACTCACTTTTCCCCCCTCTTTCAAGGAACCTAGAGGAATTTACAAGTTTCTCCCCCTCTATCTTGTATCTTTGCAACAACCCTGTGAGGAAGATGAGGCTGAAAATCTGTGACTGGCTCAAAGTGCTCCAATGAGCTTCATGATGAGTCTTGACTAGAGCCCAGATTTCTGAGTCCCAGTCCAATTGCACCCCCCCGCCCCCATCAATAGATTTTGAACTGTCTTTGTACCTGGTTGTCTTAATGAACAGCATCAGATCCATTGGTGCATTGAGCAAAGATGCATCACATGTGCTTTCAAAGGGCTTTCCATTAATTTTACCCCCCCCCCCATTCTGCTGTGTGAAAGAAAAAGCAGCTCTTTCATTTTCTCCCCAATTTTTTCATCATGTGGCACATCTGTTAGCCAACTTCCTCTCTTCCCTGGAGGTAACATCAAAACTAAACAAACCTCTGGAGGATCCATGGTTGTCTGTGTGTGGAGAAGGAATCACCTGTCTTTTCTCTCCAGTTCACCTGTTCTCATTGATCCTATGCACAGGGTAAGGCTTGTTCCGTGCTACCTTTTACGCACCTTCAGAATGTGTTACCCGGAAGGGCTGGCACTCCAATCTCACAGCTGCACAAGCGGAAGCATGACTGGATTGCAGCAGACCAGGGACATGTAAAAAATCCAGCCCCGATTTTGCTCAATATTCATCACCAAGCAGAAGGAACCAAAACGTTTTCTCCATAGCATGCAATTAGGAAGACGGGACAGACCTCTTTCTGCTGATTTGGCCCCTGCAGCTGGCCTCCTTTGGCCTCTTCCTTCCCTCATCACTTGGGGATTTGATTCAGGTCTTTCTCCCTGAAGGACGCTTCTGGTTCTCAAAGCTCAAGGTATAGTCACCTGCAGTGGAATGACAAGCAGCTCTATTTTCATGTCAAAGTTGTTTACTGTAAACAATTCAGCAGGAGTTGTCTATCTGCCCTCATCATCATTTGTAAGCATTTATAGTCTTCATAGCAAGAAACAATCTGAGCCTCCGCAAACGTCCTTTGCAGAGGTTTCCCTCTCCATGGCTGCTGGCAGGCATGTTCTGGCAAAAAACTAAGATAGCGTTGTGTAACTGACAACACTATGCCCAGTTCTCTTTAGTGAAATCTATCTTTACAGAGAGTATTCTTTTGTTTTTGAATTCTTGAGCATGCCAAACAGTAAAAATACATTTTGCATTTCTCATGTTCTGGTCCTTGCAAAGGTTCGCTTTAATCCCCAGGATAAATTCTGCACGCATTGGCAGAAGGAGGCAGACTGTGTTCAGTTGGATCCAGATTTAGGCATACACATCAGGACTAGCAGAAGGCGGCTTCCCGACAAATTGCTCTCCAGGGCAGCTGCTCCAGCCCCTGAAAATGCTACTCAAACAGCCAGGAGAAAAAACAGGTGCCAAATGCTGAAAAAATGCTGAAAAAACAGGTGCCAAATATTTTCTGCACCACTGTTGCTGTTGCTTTTCTTGTTATATTATAATATAGCATACTGTAATTTATATTTTATTAATATACCAACATTCTTCCTCTCACAAGGCACCCTCGCAAGGTGGCTTACAAGATTCTCCTCCTCCCCATTTTATCCTCACAACAACAGTACTGTGAGGTAGGTTAGGCTGAGAATCAGTGCGTGGAGCAAAGCCAGCAGTAAGCTCCATGGCCGAGGGAGGACTAGAACCTGGATCTCTGAGGTCTTCAATCCAACACTGTAACCACTGTACAGTACATAAACCAAGTGACGATTGGTCTAGAAATATCATCAAATAGCTGTAGAACTGCAATTTTCCTTGTGGGTGCATGCACACACACAAACAGACCCACTGGTCACTGTCACACTTGAGAGAGCTTCTGTAACATTGGAAACCCCTCCTTGTATTTTTAAGTCTCCAGGCAAGTGAGAACTGCTCAGTATTTAGTTTCTTGCAGCCTATTTTTCATGCTCTTGGGTGATTTCCAGGACTGGATTACTCATTATGTTACTCACACTATAGTTTAAGAAACTGACCAAATTGGGAATTCACTATGCTGTGATTATATTAGATACTCTGTGCTCAGAGTATACAATGCACCTTTACAGATTAGAAAGTAGTTTAAAATAATCAGAATATATGATTCCTTCATCAGCTGATGGAAGAGCTGTAGAAATCCATCAATCAATTTTATTTTGCTATGGGATGTGTCCGATGCATTTGGGAACATGATCTTGCAATTCCTACCAAGGGGAAAATATCCTTTATAACAGGGATAAAGAATCTGTGTCCCTCCAGATATCGTTGGAATGGAGGCCCCATCAACCTTCTCCTGCATGACCAATGGCAGGGGATGATGGAAGCTGCAGTCCACAACATCTGAAGGAACACAAGTCACCTGTTCTGCTTTATGACTAACTCCTCTCCTACCCTAATAGAATGGAAATGGAGGATACCTGTGAGCAGTCTTAAAGCCGCTTACTCCAAACAACTTCCAGATAGTGGAACTGCTCTTGAGTAAGTGCTTTGCATGGCAGCCTTCTGGACCTGGCAAAAGTTGGGCAATAGTCGTCACTGGTCAGCGCCTGTTCCCAGGGGCATGGCAGCCACCCAGGCTGCTGTGCACCGAGACTTCATCTGTGAACCCACGGCAAGTGATCACTGCAGGAGAACCTGCACTACTCTGGCCTGGATGGAGCAGGCAAGGCAGGTCTCTTTCGGGCAAGGAACTGTCAGCAATTGCCATTTGTTTTCTCTTGCACTCCGGAGCTCACGTTGACTCACCACAACAAGCAAGTTTTTGCAAAAAGGTCACTGTTCTGAAATAGGGAAAGATCTCATTTTTATCCTGCCCAATGGACGGGAAACCAAGAAATAGACCAAGGAAGAGCAGGAAGCTGCTGCAGGCATTAAAAGCCATTCTCCATTT